TAATGGAGCAACAAATTACGAGAGGGAAATTGATGGTAAGGAAGCGATTGATTCTGGAGATAGGTTTTGAGAAATAGAAGGCAGAGAGAGGGAAAGCCCAAGTGTCTGGAAAATTCTTTATGTTTTTCCTATTTCTCAATACGCAGGAAAAAAAAAACTTATAATTAATTGGCCAATTAGTAAAACAAAACTAAAATATTTTGCTAATCTGAGTCAAGGTTTACTTAGTGACAAATGAAATTTTAGTCACCTTACACAAAAAGATTACGAAACTGTTTGTCACAATACACTTTACTGGTCTATAATGTGAGTATGTGACAAATCATATTGTGATGACCCTTTTGTCACATTATAGTTGTTTGAATCCTTCGAACCAATGTTTGTATGACAAACTGATTATGAGAACAAACAAAAAAATGTCACAAAACATAGTTATTGTGACAAATACTTATGACAAAAATATAACTTGTCTCGACAACGTCGTACATTATGACGAATTTTTCATTCGTCACATAACATTGTTTGTTGTGACAAAACGTCAAATGACTAATTGCAATTTTTTCACCATAGACATTATTTGTTATAGTGTTGTAAGTATCGTGGATGAAAGATACTCCAAGGTATCTTCCCAGGTTTTTGTTGGATTTAATACCCAAGTGATTGCTTATATATCTCTTAGTCCTCTCCTTAATAATTTTCGAGAAGAAGATACATGATTTCTCCTTCCTCAGTTGCTCTCCAGATGCCTCACAGAAGCGAATCAAGCAATCCATAATAGTCGTTCTTTGCCAGCAATTAGCCTCTTAAAAAAGGACGAGGTTGTTCGCAAAGAAGATATGTGTTAAAGAATCTGATGCAATCTAGCACAAGTGTACCCTAGATCAGTGAAGTAGTAGAGTGGTGAGTGGTGACCGAGGTCGTATTCTAAGGGGTCACGGTATCTTAGGCTACTTTGGCTCGGTTGTTATCTGTCAACATGTTACTTAGCAGGTGGGCAGTTGGCGATTAATTGACTAGGGAATGATAGGAGGGAAGAGGTACTCGGGGCGACTCCCTCGACCTAACCGCTGTAGATAGCATGCAAAGGATGGAACGACGATCTATGGTGATTGAGGTGCGGAGATTACTAATGAGCCAACCCGCTCGCGAGCAACTTGGTGTTTGAATAAAAAAAACTTGGTCGCAATTGGCTCGTTATTTAACAATCCGACTCGTTAGCAAACGAGCCAAACTTGAGCCCTTGCTCAGTTTGATAAGCTCGTGAGCTAACTTGACTTGGTGACTTGTTGAGCTAAGCGCGCGAGTTGGCTTTTTTAGAGCTTGTGTAAGGATTAATTACTCTTCTGAACATGAACATTATCTTGTTAATACGGATGTGTATGGAACTTAGCTATTATTTTTAATTACTAGTGTACTTTTTATCATTTAAATTCTAATGTTTACACTTCAACAAAATAATTTCAAATCGAGCTCATCTTGAGTCAAGCTTGTACTCAGCTTGACAAACTATGTTGATGAGCATTTATCGAGCTCGAACTAGATTATTTTTATTCGAGTTGAGCACGAGCTCGAACTGGATTATCAAAATTCGAGTTCGAGCCGAGCTCGAGCTGAAAAATTTATAACCAAGCTGAACTCAAGTTAAGCGAAAGCTAGACTTGACTCAGATTTTGATAATCCAGTCCTACTAACAACACATCCTTATTCCTTAGAGACCGCGACCCTCACCATAATAACCAATATTTGTAGATTGCTTATTGTGACTTAAATACACTTAATTGTTATTTGAATATCAGAATCTAATGAATATTAACCAACTTAATATTATGATCATTCGATATATGAAGAAAAATGTAACTCTTTGTCATGTAAAAGTGGGTTATGGTCATTCGAGTGATCTGCAATCCATCTACCACCCTCTCAGGTAAATGTGTTAAAATATTTACTAATCGACAATCCAACTATATCATCATCCATCCACAAAAATTCAAATTATTTGTGAATGAATCGATGTCAAATTACTGATGAACCATCTATACAATTGGTAATCCCGGTAATGCCAAAAGCAAATAGTCATAAAATGAAAAATCATTTTAAATGCATCTAATTTAAGATTCGACAAATAAAAACTAAAACATTTCTTTCCATTCTACTTTTCGAATAAAGAGACAAAACTCTCCACTAAAATTAAAAAAGAAAGTAAAACATAAAATTATACAAAGCCTCAAAAGGTTTCCCCAACAATAACTTTAAGGGTATGCCTACTATGACATGCATGTCACGGTGACATGCACTTTTCGGTCGACCTATTCTTGAAGGCGGTCGACCGAATTGACTAATTTGGGCAGCACGAAAAAGCATTGCGGTCGACCTCAACGACCACCTGGTCGACCGCACTTAGTTTAAGTTGTTATTTTTGGTCGACCAGAATAAAACCTCGGTCGGCCATTTCGTTGGCGTCAGAAACAACATGGTCCACCACCTAAGGTATATAGGTCGACCACTTGATGACAGTCATTAACAAAATGGTCGACCGGATAAGGAAAGAGGTCGACCAGATAGAAGATAAGTGTTCTATCAAAGTGTCCAATCATTTGACGTAAAATGAAGATCAAGTGTTGGTTTTGCGGTCGACCGAATACAAGAAAGTCAACCTATGCCCCGTGTCTTTTTTGCTTATGTATGTCGATTTGTGTGGTTCTTTTGATCGTATAAATTATGTTTCAAACCATCATAATTAGTCATAAATAATGATAACAAGGACTCATCAATTCATAGCATAACAACTAAACAAACTAACAAGAAATACAATAAAACAGAAATCATAATTGTTCACACATAAAAATAAAACTAAAAAAACAACAGAATAACAATCAACAATCATTTTGACCACTAAAACACACAATCTAAAATCTCCGCGCTCCTACTCATCTTCCCCCCCCCCCCTCCCTCATCCACATTTTCTTCATTGGTGGTGCTAGCATGATGTGGTGGGATGCATGTATCTTCCGCTGAAAGATCGCCACTCATCTCGCATCTCATTCACGGTCACCTGTATTGTGCTTATCTGGGCGGTCATTTTCCCCATGTAGTCGTACATGCCAGTCATCTGGGTGGACATCTGGCCCATGTACTCGTACATGCCATCCATGCGCTCCCACACACGCTCTAAGGTGATCGGTGGAGTTGAACTATGTGCCTCCGCCATTGGCTCGTCTCTAGATCCTTCATCCCCATCATCATCCTCATCATCATCATCATCACCACCATGAGCATTGTTTATTCTGACATACTCACCATTACGCAACTCAAAGCCCATCTTTTTCAGAGATGAAACAGTATAGAACTCCTGCCTTGAGATTCTTAACCCCACCTCTTCACTTAAATTCACATTAAAATGCTCAAATAGCACAGTGAGGATCATCCCATAGGGAAGATTCCTGTTTGAACTCTCTGCAGCAGTAAGCATGTGGTTAAAGATCAAGTATGACAAGTTCACCTTCTCGTTTAACAGTAGGTTGGTGAGGAGCTCCATGTTGAAGTAGGTGACTGTCTCCCGATGTCCACCCTTTGGCAGAATGTTGTAGGAAAGCATGTGGTGAAGAACTCTGGCTTGAACTGTCAGGTGGTTACTCGTTGGCCTATTGCGACCCTGAGCATCTTCCTCTTCATCAAGACCACATACCGTCTGGATTTGCTTGGCTCTCGTGAAATGCGTTTCATTCCAAGAACCGTAAGAATGGATTCTCTTCCCCTCGTTTGGAGCCTCTAGTACTTGCGCCAACACATTCTTGCTGATGCGCATCGCCACCCCATTCACATAGGATTTGAATGCGTGAATGGATCCATTTGCATTGTGCTCGTAGACGATGTTGTTGTAGAAGTACTGTACCAGTTTTGGGTAGTATGGTACATTGAGAGATATCACCTTCAGCCACTCCTGCTCGATGAAGGGTCCCAGAAACCCGTAATTCTCGAAATGAGAATACGCATCCGTCGTCAATGGCCTTCCCGGAGCCAACCTGCGGTTGTGCATTCTCTTCTCTTCATAGTTCTCACTTTGCTCCTTGGTCTGGAACAGATTGGGATTGAACTCTTCCCATTCCGAACTTGAGGCAGCAGCTTTTTGTGCCTTTCTTTTCTTTTTGCCTCCAAACATCCTGCGATCAAACAAGCAAGAATACACGTTAGTCACATTTTCGAAATGAACAATACGCGGTCGACCACTCCACAAAGAGGTCGACCTCAGTTAATTTAAAACGAGAATGGGTCGACCTTAGAAGAATCATAGGTCGACCTCACAAATGATATTTGAGTGCATTGCAGTAGCTGCAAACTTGATTCAGTACTTAGTAGACTATTAGTAAAAATATCTTTTCCTTTGGACAAAGCACAAATACATGGTAAATTCTAAATATAACCTGAATTATAGATCTTAAACCTTAACACGACATAATTAGATTTACCTGGACTATTAATCTCTCACAGTGAGACCATGAATTAGGGATGGCAATTACCCACCCATGGGTAATTATACCCAAACCCAAGTAGACTCATTGATAATGGGTTGGGTATGGGTGAAGTGCATATGGGTTTGGGGTTTGTAGATAGGTTGGGTATGGGTATGGATATTGCTTCCATAATGTAAATGGGTATGGGTTGGATATGGATATCCATTTACTTGAGTGTGTTCTAACTACACATATCAAAATTAGACATATTTGTAAAACTTGAAAATTTTAGGTACCAAAATGTACGACCAAAAAAATTTAGGTACCATAACATAATTTTCCATCCATATTTTGGGACTTATATGCAAAAAATAAATAAATTTAGGTACTGAATAGGTATATCTGTTAATTTTAGGTACCAAACTATAATTTGCATTTGGGCATGGGTACAAACCCAAATCCATTTGTTAAAAACCCAACCTAACCCAAATAAATTGGTATGATTTTAGAGCGTTGGGTATTATTAAAGTCGTCAAAAAATGCATTTTTCTAGTTTTTATTACACCCTATTAGTTAAATTAATACCACTAACTTGTACCACAACCACTTCAACTATGGTTTTATAAACAATGCTCACCCTACCACTAACTTGTCTTGCAACACAACCACTTCTAGGGTTTTATAAACTGCATGGCCACCAGTCACCACATCCTTCAGTCCATCCGTTCAAACTTCAAAGTAGGAACTCCTATCATCCATGGAAACAAAGATAGATCTAGCCCCACTTTTCTTGAGCATCAAGACTCACCTTCTTGAGTTTAAGCTCGTGACGAGACTTCCCAAGCAGAGCAATTCTAAATTATCGCTGCCAGCTGTAAAATCATACTTCTTCTAGGCAGGGTCGAGAACATCTACACCATATCAAGTGGTATCCATTTCATTTCATATTTAAGCCTCACCTGTCCATAAGGACTTCTAAACTTCCTACCAAGGTTCCACATCAAAGATGAATGATCATGTCCCTGAATTCTTGGATGAAAGGATACACGTGGATTCATTCTACAACTCGAGAACAGGATGGCGTTCACAACACATTGCTACAACAATCGGATTTTCGTGCAAAAACATAGCAACTACATATGCTTATACGATGCTCATACTCTATCCTTTGAGCTTCATACTTCAAGATCTTGCTGCTGCGGCTTCTTTTCTTCACTGATTGCTGCAGGCGTCTCTGTAGTGGTCTCTTCAGGTTCCCTTTTGAGCTCAGTCTCGAACTCTTTTGCTGCCTGCGAAAGTTAGTAACACTCATAAATAAGACTCATCGTCCTTGGTAGAGAAACACGTTTAAAGTATTGCACACAAATTCTCTAAGAATCGGTATCACATCAGAAAAAGCCAACTCATCTTCTAGTAGCATCTGTCATAATATGTAAAAGACTGTCTTGCTAACTAAGTTGTGGGTACATAATGAGATATAATTGCTTTGAATCAGTTTTCTTAGGCACTAACCCTTAACGCTGAACTGCAGAAGAATCACAAAAGATCAAGCTTTTCTTCTGCAACAATGTCGTAACTCTTACCTAGCATTAAGGTTTCAAGATTCCTCCTAGTGCAGGAGTCTTTAACATAATTAGCGAAATGAGCACCAAGATCATAATGCAACAGGCCAAACAAGTACACAATTTTTTAAGTCAATTAACAATCCTTCCACTCCCAATCAACCACAAATGGAGTAATTCACTTATATCTGAAATGGCAACGACAATTAGAACTGAAGAAAGCAAAGAGCATGCTTAAGCCAAACAAATCTCATTAGTCTATAGGACACTCTGCAAAAACTGCCTCAAAAGCCCTGAAGTTCAATCCTCTGGCAATGGCAAAAAACCTACCGGATTGCAAATGTGGGAACGTGCGACATAGAAGAACCTATCTAGATAATAACATATAAAAAACCATTAATAGCACACCAATGGAAGTAACCAGAGCAAGGATAAGGATACAGAAGTCGATTGGAGATCCAAATACAACAATCATGCAATAACTAAGGACACAGAAATGAAATAGTAGATTCGCTAGGAAGCTCATGTCGACTTTCTTTCCAATTCATTCTCACACCTGAAATTTGCGCACCTGAAACCCGAAACTGGCCGGTCACCAGTGAAGTTCAAGCCCACACAATCAGAAGCCAATATCCTATCTATTTTAGCATCAGTTTAGCAACCAAGAGTAAATCGATCCACAAACCCCAACTCATTTAATTGGGGTTTCAGTTCATCTACCTACCAAACCACTCCTAAGCAGCCATAACCAAACCTCTATTCTTCCCGCCGTTCTTCCCAACAACTGAAGCAGGAAGGCGAAGTAAAGAAAGCACAACTAACTAACCTGCTGGAAGCTCTTGACAGTTTTACCAATACTCTTGCCAACTTCGGGGAGCTTCTTGGGACCGAAAACCAGAGCTGCCACACCAGCAATCACGACGAGCTCCGGAACGCCCAAACCGAACAGAGCATAGCAACCCATGCCCTTTTTGGGTCTGTGTGTTCTAACCCTGCCCATGAACAGAGAGCTGCCTCTCTTGGGCGTACTGTAGAGGGAGACTCCAGCGGTGTTGAAGAAGGCGGAGGTGGAAGAAGAAATGGGCAAAGAAAGCGGCGGCGGCCTGGAAACTGAAAGGGTAGTGGAAGCGATCTCCATGGCTATGGGGAGTATTGGGGGTATTGGGGGATTTCCTGTTGTTTTGCTTAGGTTTTTGTTCTGTGGCGCGATTGGATTGAAGAAGATGATAACAAATTGGAACGATGTGGCTGCTGGCTGGTATGATTCTTCTCTTTCTTTCCCCATTATTCAACTACTCTCTTTCAGTATTTACTATTTTCTTTTTGTGTTCCCATGTTTTAAATATTTTATTTATTGTCATCCTATCCTATTAATTTATTACTCACCAAACCAACGAAAAAAAAATGTTATTACTCACGTGGTTTTGAATTGGCAAAATACACTTGTATAGCCAAAACTTTGAATTGGTTTGTGAAAGTGTAGGAGAAGTCATACACTCATATTGCAAAAGTAGTTGGTAGAGTATTTTGTAGTAAAATTTTTATCCAATTAGGATTAATAGTATAAATTGTCCATCTACTATTATATTTTCTCAAATTTGATCCTGTACTATTTTTTATATCAAACTTGTCCTTTATTATATTATCTTTCTCAAACTTACCCTTCTGTCATATTTTCTGTCGGTTCTGTCAAACATGGTCCAACCATAATTGGGTTAAAGTAGATTGACCCTTTTGCCCTCACTAACTGCACTTCCTCCAATTCATATATGGAGGTCAATTCCTTTTTTGCTGCCTTCTCCGCACAATAAGGAAGGGTGCATTAGTCTTTTCACTATTTACTTAATTTCGGAAACGGGCGGGCTTCATGTTGCTTTTCTTTTTATCATGTGAAATTAGTGGCTTTACGTTTACCTTGCAGCTGCTCCTTCTAACACATCCAACTCTTTTTTTTTTTTTTTTTGACGGGTAACCTGTAAATCAATTAATTCGGGGAAAAAATTACATTATCCAGCCGAAGCTGATCGACAAGAAACAAAGGTGGATTATCAAGCCACACTTCTCTGCTATCCCAGCTAGTCCCATTATGAGCCATAATATGCGCGCAAGTATTCGCCGAACGCCGTACATGGTTTATGCTTCCCGGTGATGGGGTCTGCTCCTGTAGAAGTCGAGCGATCCGCCTGCAAATGACACCAGTCTCGGTCTACATCTCCTCCGCCTGCCCAACTTTTTCAACCAACGTCAGACTGTCAACTTCAAGCAGGAAACGACGGTAGCCCAGCTGATGCGCTAATTGGCCCCCGAACTCTGCCGCCAGCGCTTCTGCCAATTCCACTCCAAAGGAACCTCGAATCTTTTTCGTTGCTACAGCAAGGAAACGCCCCTATGGTCTCGATAAACTGCTCCCAGGCCTATCCCATCATTCTCCAACAGGCCGGCATCTGTATTAATTTTGATCCACCCTTCCGCCGGTCTCTCCCACCGTTCCACCTGCGCGTCTCCCATCACTGCTTCCTCGTGCCTTTGGTTCTTCCTATAGTCATCAAGAATTGAGATTGCACGCTGCAGAATCTCATCCTCAGGCCACTTGGATCCGTTAAACAACTGTTCATTTCGTTCCTTCCATATCGCCCACAGTACCATAGCCCACGATTCCGCCACGTCAGGGTTCTCATGCTTCAACACTTCCGCTACCCATTCCATGCAGTCCGCCGACCCATGCACAGTAAACACACTTTCCCACGACGATCCTCTCCATAATCGGCTGCTCCAGCTGTACTCGAGAAAAAGATGGTGTTGGGTTTCCTTTTGGTCACAGAAAGGACACCCATCATACCGTTGTGGGTTCTTTGTTACCACTTTCACCCCTGTTGGCAGAATATCTCTAGAGAACTTCCATAAGAAATGACAAACTTTAGGGGGACTTTCATGGTCCATATAGCCTTCCAGAACTTCTCATCACCACGCAGAATAATCCCCTCCGCCTGCATAAAAGCTCGTTAGCCATTATTTGTATCCACTTTTCACAGAGTAGCGACCATCATCACTATGACGCCAAACAAGGCGATCTGGCTCCTCACTCCCCCTGAGAGGAATGGCCATTATGGTGTGCACGGTCGGGGCGAGATAACAGTTGTGAAGCAGGCCAAGGTCCCATGTTTCCGTTTCGGGGTCGATAAGTTCCCGGACTGTAGCGTCCACCGGGAGATGTCGTGGAGCTGAAGGGATGAAAGCAGGTTCCGCGGGGAGCCATTGGTCCCCCCCAAATTCGCACTTTGGCACCATTTCCCACACGCCAGCGAAGACCGGCACACAGGAAGTCTTGTGCACTGAGCAGGCTTCTCCATATGTAACTTGGTCTACTTCCCAGCCGAGCTTCCAAAATAGAGCAGTTCTTATGGTACTTGGCGGCTATGATCCTGGCAATGAGGGATATTGGCCGCTGGTGCAGGGACCAAAGCTGTTTCGCGAGCAGTGCTTTGTTAAAACCTCTTAGGTCACGAAAGCCCATCCCGCCATCCTCTTTCATAGTAACCAACTCCTCACGGCGAAGCCAATGTGATCGCCTCTCCGCGTTCTTTTGTCCCCACCAAAAGCTGATGATCATACTGTGGATCTTGTCAATAATACCATCCGGTATTTTGAACACTGTCATGGCGTAGTTGAGCTGTGCTTGGGCAACTGACTTGATGAGAATTTCCCGGGCTGCTACAAACATAGATTTTTCCTTCCAACCTTTCAGCTTCTGCCTTACCCGTTCCTTCAAACCCGCAAAGAGGTCCTTTTTGGCTCGCCCCACCTCCGTGACCAGCCCCAGATATTTCTGATGCTTTTCTACTGGCTGCATCTGGAGGGTTCCGCTGGTAATAAGCTTGCTGTGAGGCTTCACATTCGCCGATAAGGAGACTTCCGACTAGGGATGGCAATGGGTAGGGTCGGGTGCGGGTTTACCCTATACCAACTCCTAACCCGCCGGATAGAGCCTTCTAAAATACCCGAGCAAATAACCACCGGGTATGAAAACTATATAACCATACCCTACCCACCGGGTAACCACGGGTATTCGGGTAACCATGGGTACGAATCCTAAACGATGAACTTATACATATATATGCACATACATACTATTGTCCATTAAAAATTCTCAATACTTGTAACGGTTCTAACTTCAACAATCCACACAAATTAAATCAGCAAACACATAATAATTGTTCTTGCTTCTACAATCCACACAATTATAATAATCGTCTACATCTTCATCATCAATAATGGTAGCTAAACTCAATTTCTCAAGCTAAACTAAATTTTTAAAGAGAAATTGACCCTTTGGTTAGCGGGGCGGGTATAACCGGGCGGGTACTATCGATTACCATACCCGTACCCTACCCTTTATTTTGAAACCGGGTATTACCCGTACCCGCCCCTTAACCCGTCAAAGCGGGTAATTACCCTCGTTGACCGGTTACGGTCGGGTAGGGTACCCATGGTTACGGGTTGGATTGACATCCCTACTTCCGACTTCTGGAAGTTAACCATCTGTCCAGACTCGAGCTCGTAAGTGTGAAGTATATTTTTTAGTGCCAGACATTCCTCCTGAGTAGCCCTGGCAAAAAAGATACTATCGTCAGCGAAAAAAAAAAAGGGTAATCACCGGGGCTCCCCGATTCACCTGCAGCCCATGTAGTCGTTTTTCCTCCACCGCCTTGGCTGTATAGGCTGACAATCCCTCCGCGCAAAGCAGGAAGAGATAGGGTGATGACGGGTCGCCCTGCCGTATCCCTCTGCTCGGAGTGAAGGTTTGGGAACGATGACCATTCACTAGAACAGAGTACGACACGGTGTTAACGCCCATCATCACAAGCTGTATCCACCGTTCGGCAAATCCCATTCTTCGCATCACGCCTTCGAGGAAATGCCATTCCACCCTGTCATACGCCTTCGCCATGTCAATCTTAGCGGCAAAATAGCCATGTTTCCACCGTTTGCTCCCTTTCATGGTATGGAAGCACTCAAACGCTGCCATGATATTTTCTGTGATGAAACGCCCAGGGATAAAAGCACTCTGCGCCGGTGAATTGATCTTGTCCAGCATCGGTTTAAGACGGTTGGCTAAAATCTTCGACACGATTTTGTAGAGCACATTGCAGAGGCTAATCGGTCGAAAGTCTTTCGGAGAAACTGGCTGTTTGGTTTTGGGGATGAGAGTGATCAGTGTATGGTTAAGTCCCTCTGTCATCTCACCCGTCTCCAAGATTTGCAGAACTGCTCCAGTGACCTCGTCACCCACAATAGACCAGTATTTTCTGAATAAAAAAGCAGAGAGCCCGTCCGATCCTGGTGCTTTACGACTACCCATTTGCTTCAAAGCCGCCCACACATCCTCATTCGTGAATGGCCTCATCAACTCCTCATTGTCTTCGGCCTGTAACTTGCAGGGGATCAAATCCAGAACCGGCCAACTGTCGGGCATCGGACCAGCAGTGAAAAGGTTCTGGTAGTAGTCTACCAGGCATTCGGACACTTCATTCTGTCCCACAAACCATCTCCCAGCCTCATTCTTAATCCTTCTGATCATATTTCTTTTCCGGCAGGCTGATGCTTTCCGGTGAAAGAAATTAGTATTCTTATCCCCTGATCTCAACCAATCTGCTCGGGATCTTTGTTTCCAGTATCTTTCTTCGCTATCAAGCACATCTTCCATTTCATCTTCGAGAAGCCGAAGCTGAGCCAACACCTCCGTCGTCTTATCACGTCGTGCTTTTATTGCCCGGCTAATCCTCTTCTTTTGTTTTCTAAACGCGGGGAAGGCCTGTCGACTCCAGCAATCCAGTTCTATCCGACATTGCTCAAACTTGTCAAGAATACTTAACTGCGGGAACTTCTTCCATGCACGATCGATCACCTCAACGCATTCCTCATGTTTTGTCCACAGTGGGTCAAAACGAAAGGACCAGCCCCACCTGATGTCCTCATCCTCTTCCCCTCGCGTTTCACATAGGATGGGTCGATGGTCAGAATGTGTCCGGTCCCCATGCTGAACCCTACCGTTTGGAAAGCTCTCTCTCCATTTCTCATTAGCTACAAATCTATCCAGACGTTCTTCAATGTAACCTCCTCTCGTACGTCTGTTCTCCCAAGTGAACGGGTATCCAACAAAACCCAGATCATGGCATCCTACATCGATGAGACAGTCACTAAAATGACTCATCTCCACCTCCTGGGCGCCTCGGCCTCCACTTTTTTCTGCTGTCGACAGTACTTGGTTGAAGTCTCCCCCACACAGCCACGGTCCATCCCATTGGGTACTCAATAATCTCATAGTGTCCCACGTGCGCCACTTGTCACTCCCATCCGGCCATCCGTAGATGCCAGTGAACCGCCATTTACCCACCACTTCCTCTTCAATAGCCGTATCAATAAAATGGAGGTCTAAATTCATCACCGTGAGGCTAACTTCCTCCTTCCACCAAACACTGATACCACCGGCCCGACTTCTAGCGGAGATCACCACCGAGTGGCTTTCACCATTCACATACCCGCAAACTCCACGTAAAGTCGCATTCTCCGCACACGTTTGCTTTGTTTCCATAAAAAACACTACATCCGGGGATGATCGGCGCAAAAGCGCTTTAAGAGCATTAACTGACCGCGTATTCCCCAGCCCGCGGCAGTTATAGCTCAGTAGCTTCATTTATAACCGGAAGGGGATGAGATCCCCGCGCCATTTTTCGTGTCTCTGTTGGGCTTTGACGTCCCATTTTGCTGCCCTTTGTCCGAAGCTATGATCATCTTTTTGGTTTGGTTTAGTTTCTTGGATTTGTCTCCATCGTTTCGCCGTTCCAGCGGCTCTTTGTGCTGGTGCCCTCCTATCTTAAAACTGTCCTTTGTGTTCAAAGTCTGGGTTGTACAGCCTTCCCTAAGCTCATTACTCCTGCCACGAACTATCGGACTATGATCAGATCTCGCCGGCGGTTCGGCTGGGTTCACAGCAAGGTTAGCACTCCCATTTTGTGTCTCTGGCGGAATAGTGGGAGGCTCTTTAGACCCTGTCTCCGCTGCACTCCCTTTATCGTTTCTTCCTTCCTCAGGTCCTTGGGTGCCATGGCCCGATTTGTTTGGATCATCTC